CTACTGGTCGAGTCAGGGATTATGGCGAACTGTCATCTACTTTTGCAACATCAAGTGGTGTCCGTCAAGGCTGTCCACTTTCTCCATTTTTGTTTAACTTCATCATAGATCTACTGCTAGAAATAACTTTCTCGTTGACTGAGTTCTCGGGCATTGATCTCCATCCAGGTGGTCCACTTATCGACTTAGAATACGCAGATGACATAGTCCTGTTTGGTGAAGACGCTGATAAAATGCAGTCTTCTGGTAGCACTGAGCAACAATGCCAGAATGTTTGGAATGCGCTTCTCTCCCTCTAAATGCAAGTTGTGGCTTCAGGACTGGTCTGCGTCAACACCTGAACTAAGGATAGGGAGTGAAGTAGTCGAACGCGTTGACAACTTCACTTATCTTGGAAGTCTGATCAGCCCTAATGGGTTGGTGTCTGACGAAATCTCAGCACGGATTCGAAAAGCTCGTTTGGCTTTTGCCAACTTACGTCACCTGTGGCGAAGGCGAGATATCCGTCTATCAATAAAAGGACGAGTATACTGCGCGGTATTTCGTTCTGTTTTACTTTACGGCAGCGAAACATGGCCACTAAGAGTTGACGATACTCGTAAGCTACTAGTATTTGAGCACAGATGCCTTAGAAATATTGCCCACATCTGCTGGGATCATCACGTAAGTAATAGTGAGGTTAGACGCAGGGTATTAGGAAATGATGGTAAATCAGTTGATGAGGTTATGAATCTTCACCGACTGAGATGGTTGAGCCACGTGTTACGTATGTCTGAACACCGATTACCAAGACACGCAATGCTAACCAGTGTTCGGAATGGTTGGAAGAAAGTTAGGGGTGACCAAACCAAAGCGTGACATCAGTGCTTGATTTCGCGAACTTCTAGTCTTAGCCATATTGGTAGATACAGACTACTTGGTTGGGGTCCGCGTGACTATCGTAACCAAATGGTTGGAGAATCTTGGTGACATGGCTCAGAATCGATCACAATGGCGTCGGTGTATACACTCTCTGTCTTCCCTTAAACTAAGAGATTAAGATCGCTTCATATATATATATATATATATATATATATATATATATATATATATATATATATATATATATATATATATATATATATATATATATATATATATGTACATATATATTTTGTAGGTAGATGCAATCGGTGAAACAGTATTTACAACAATTGGCTCACAACCCTTAGCTCGCGAGCCGAAATGCCGAAACATTTGCTTCTGCATGGGTAGCTGCGTAGTATTGCAAGATCACACAAGGAAAACCGCGGCTCGAATTACAGTACATGGACCTATAATGCGGTAAAAGTTCTATTATTTAATTAATTCTTTTGAATAACAATTCGATATCAATACTTTAACTGTTTAACTAAAGGTACCTGATAATAATAATGATAACTAAAATGAACATTTTTGAGTAGTAATAAACAATAACATATTATGAGATCCCAGTGAGTAGAAATTCGAATTTTTGACGCTCTGTGAAATTCAAATTCACTGGGATATCATATATATACAAATATTTTATCACTAAAATTCTACCCAATGATCAATTTGTTTAATATCATCATGTCGAACATTGGAATTTATACCTATTTCTTTGGACAGATTCATATTTCTCTGATTCATTTATGATTTTATCAGTTATAGCGTGACTCTTGACCTATATCATCAGTGATAAACTGTCTTAATCGTAATTATGTTCACTCCATAAGTCACATAGTATTTTAAGATAACAGTTCTGAAGACATTCACTGGAAACTACATGATTATGAAGTTGTTACTTTGACGATTTTGTTGTTTATTTTATAGATATTTTGTAGATAAATATTGCTTCATGGCGGGACTGAGTCAACATCTAAACTAATGGTAGGTCATAAAATAGTTGAGCGCCTTGACCGCTTCACTTATCTTGGAAGTTTCATCAGACTTGTTCTATTGACGTGTGACGAAATATCAGTATGAAATCAGAAGGCTCGGTTAACTTTTGCTAATTTATATTACCTATAGTGTAGGGAAGATAATCATCTGTCAACCAATGCGTCAGTAGAGTGCGCACAAGTCTGATCTTTTACCAGTTATGACTGCGAAACGAAACCTTAAAAAGTAAGTGACAATCGAAGTTTTCTATTATTTGATGGCAGATCTCTTCAAAACACTGCTCAACTTTGGTAGGACCACCGAGTGAGCAATATTGAAATTAGAGGCAAGGTTGAGGGTAGGACTGTACCTTTATTCACTAGCGTTACTTAAACATGTTATTTATGTCCAACTACCGCCTATCTAACGCACAATGTTGGGTGGCGTAAAAGTGGACTGGAAGAAGGCTAGTGGTGGTCAAACTAAGATTTGGTATTAATTCGTAAATTTATTGACTACTGAACTGACTCATCTTCGTAGGTGTAGACTACCTGGTTGAGGTCAGAACGACTAACAAGTCCAATGATTGGAGACAGTGGGTGACAGCTCATAATCGGTCACAAATGCATTCCTTGTCTACCATTAGATACTGGGTTTTGAAAATATTAGATGCTTTTCAATCCACAAATTCATTCTTTCTTCTTCCATTATATTCTGTGTAGTATTATTTTGCTTTTACTGATACTTTAAGATTTATCTTGCTAATTTGAGTAGATGCACATTCTTAGCAGGATTTTACGTTGCTTATGACTGACTGGAAAGGAAGTTACAAATAACTGATGATACCATCGCATTGAACGTGGTAACCTAGTGCACCAACAATGAAATTATACGTGAGCCTTGATGATTAATGTGGACATATTAGTTTTTGGAGCATCGGAAATCAATATTTGAAGATAATATAAAAAATTAATTGCAGTGCTGTATTTTCATCTATTTTGCACTTTACAGTAATTTATTTCGAAGTGTGCTTATATGCTTTTCTAAAATTCGGCAACTTTACAGTTTGATTATCATGCTTCAATCCCTAGAGTGAATCTAACGACAAGCATTTTCGTTATTCAAAAGGCGGAAACCACTTGTATTTATTCCTCACTTGGACCAACAATTAGTATTGAACAGATAAGGTTGAAACGAAAATTAGGTGACATATGAATATTGGAGTAAACTCAATAGTGACAGATAACATAATACGTATTCAACGAATAAAGATTTGTATATTCAGCACTATGCATACTTAAAGTGTCAGGGTTAGCGTTATCGGTGGGCCATTAGAATAAAAAGAGCCACCTCTTTTGAGTTGAGTTCAAACACGAGACACAGTGTATGAAGGTCAAATGTTGTGACTACTGGGATATTGCCCCGATTACGATAGAGTTACCAAAGTCAATAGCATTTCTAGTAGACAGATGATTGAATTTGGAATAATCAGAGCGTTATATAGATAAATAAGGCAAAAAGAAATATACAACAATGAAAGTCGTAACACTTCTCCCAAGATGACTTCAGTAATATTGAAACAGTAAGGATTTACGAAATTTGCGTGTCGAAAATCGTTTTTATCCTTAGTCAACATAAGCCTGAACTACAAAGTTGTGCAATTACTTGCCTTCGACGTTTGCAATTAAAATTGACATTTTAGTTAAATTTATTCAAGTATCGATTCAGAATGCCAAGCATACTGGTGCAAATTTCATCCTTCGATCATAAGTTTATCTGTGCACAATAAAGGACGAAGGCATTGCAATAGCAACAATACTGTCGAAGCTTTAAGAATCCTGTAGTGACCGAGAACGCAAGTGGGGGCAATCCAATACATATGAACATAAAATTACAGAACATCTCGGTAAATTCTGAGAACCATACAGTAAATTCTTCATTTTTAAAATGTCAATCGTCTCAGACCTCGTTGTTCTTGCATTTCTATACCGATTGCTTTCTGTTCCCATTCTTTCCTCCTCGGTCATCTCAACCTTCTGCTGACAGACTTTAGTGTCAGTTATTGTGTTAAGCCTATATACCTTATTCTAGCTTTCGGACATCCCATTCTACTCATTCTACTTGAGTCATATTTTGACCTTGTCAATTATTCGCTTATCAGTCTTGACTGTTTTTATATGACCGTATATGTGTGTACACTTCATATCCCATGTCTCATCACATGTCTGTAGTTCATTTTGTCTGCCTATAAATATTGCGCAACGCCTGGCTAAAAATGAGTTGGCTCACCAGCCATCTCCACTGCGCGTCATTTCGCTTTGTTCTATCGCATTCACTTTACATACAAAATATACGTATTCAAATGTCATTCTCGTTAATTGACTTATCTAAATTCCGTTATTGACTAACGTGATTTAAGTTGATAAATGTATACGGGGATAGGTGATAACGAACATTCGTACGATCTAAATGTAGACATTCTATTCCTGTCTAGTGTTATATACTACTTATATCGACATAAGTAGTACACATGGCAAGACAATATTAATAGTGCATACATAGTAGAAATAAAAATTTCAATTCTTTCGAAATATAGCATTCCAATCGACCCATTCCTTCATTACTTTAGCTGACAGAATCCAGTTATTCCCTACAACGTCTTAAAACATGAATATCGTAACTTAAAGGTATTTTAGTAGCACAATATTAAGTGGTTGAAATAAAAAGCTACCGATGATATGAATGATAACGTAGACGTTGAGTAGTGAGAAAACAGGTTGGTGGATCTTTGAAAGTTGGCAACAATTATCATTAAAAAACCCAAATGAACAACTGAGCATCGATAATAAGCTAGAATGTTGGATAGAACTCTATTTTCAACCATCCTTCAGACTAATCGCTTCTGAATTACAGGTCAAACAGGTGTAAGTAAAGTTTTTTCGGTAAAATCAGTTTGATGTGCTCTTGTTATACATACACAGTAAACCATTTAAGATGGATATAGTTACATTATGTTGTACGAGACAATAATAATAATGAAGAAAAGCTATGAGATATGATTTGGCAAGCGTGGAAAATGCATTATAATAAAAAAAGCAGTACTACTTTCTTATACTCACAGGCAATTGTTCAACATTTCCCAACAATAAATCGACATCTTCTTGTGTACGATCTGATGGGAGTTTAAGAATAGATTCCCAGAATGCATCGCGAATAGACTATTTTATAAAAAATGAAGTTTCGAAACAAAAGAAGTAAAATTATGTAAATACATGAATAAAAAGTTATGTCAAAAATTGAGATTCTATTATCTAAAACTTGCGAGTTGTACGCGACTACTGGACGAGTAATATATATATATATATCATGGAACAACACCAATGAGATAAATACAAGACACCAAAAAGCACAGGACAGATGTTTTGTTTTGGTACGCGATTATCGAACAATGTGCACCTACAACCCTGGCAGAAATCAAACTCAAAACCTTCAGACGTCGTAGTCAAGGTGTTGATGTTGGGTCATTGAATTGATACTTGGATTTTCACAGATACTAACTTAAATTAGTTGTCTAACCAAAGTGACTTCAGCAAATAATGTACTCTCTGCCTTCTCGTGGGGGGTTGTTTACGGAATTGAGGGGACGAAAAGCGAATGTCCGGCGATTTAACCGGGTTGGTGGACATGGAGAGTCCACCTAGGGGAGTTGGGATACCCTTATTCCAAACCAATGGTGCACATAGGCTCCAGTATCCTGCGGGAACAAATGGCGTATGAACCAATCGTTGGTCACCGGCTACTATGGGACTGAATCTCCTTACGATGCTCCACTGGAATGTGGATCAGACCTTCAAGTCGAAGGCTCCGGGTGTGGCCCCCTAAGAAAATCACCTACTTCGGTTTGGGCACCCGGGGAGTGTCCCAGTCCTCACACAAATCGAATGATTTATGTGGCGCATATCTATTTGGTGCCTCCTTGTACTAATGTTTATGTGTTTAAATAAACAAATAAATCCGTACATGTAAAGAAATCTAAAATCAAGAAGTATCTAAGGAAATATATAATATATATATATATATATATATATATATATATATATATATATCACGGATTAAACGGGTTACAAGTAGTTGGAATATATGCTAGAGGAAATCCAGAAACAAAGCAGGATAAGTACACTTTGAAATTAAATACACTACAAACCTCATGACTACTTGACCCAAGCTCTTCATCTTCATCCTCCTCCTCCTCCTCCTCCTCATCATCATCATCATCATCATAATCATAATCATCACCTTCAGAATCCATACAATGGCTATTGTCTGACCCAGTCTTATGCCATTTAGGATAGTTATAACCTATCTTTTTGTTGCGTTTTTCTGGAGATTTTAAAACGCACGAAAGAGTTGAACGTCCATGACTTGAATTATTTTGAACGCCTTCAGAACTAAAAGAATGTGTAGATGATGTGTCACTTAAATATAATGATTTCAATGAATTAATAGCATCAGCCTGTGTACTCCTGGTAGGTCGTCTTTGGAGCTTGCTTTGGTCAGAATTAAGCAAAGATGGGATTTTTAATGACGAGCTGATACTATGAGACGATTCCGAATAACGATCATTTGATAAAATTTCACATGAAGCATCATTATCATTGAATGAGACCAGTGCACGATCTAAAGAACGCTAATAAAAAAGTTATTAAAATGATTAAATAAATGTTGAGTACATTTCGAGTAGGAAATACTAGATAAATATTACAAAATAGCTATAAGCTGTATGGACAATAAATAATAACTAAGTATTCATAATATATGCATCTTCAACGATATTTCAGAGTTATGTCAAAGTTTAGTCATTAGAAATCAGTGAAAATTATTTTCAAATGCAATGTAACTCATTTAACCAAGTACAGGTTATTTAAAATTTGAATGAACCATAAAATTCATAATAATAACAACTGTGACGGAATCAATCTAAAAAATTAGCACGCTGTAAAATCTAATGTGATTCAGAAAAAAGCATTACCTTTTGCTGGTAATACATTCTTAAATTATGAAGTTACAAGTAAAATTTGAACTGTCAAAAGAATTAATCACAGAGAGAAGTCGTCATCGCTTTAGCTTATAAACAGTGTGTGATGTTACACAAGTGGCTAAGTTAAATCGAGATAGGCTAAGTACCTAAAATGACAAAAGTCATATAAATTATCCAGAAAGAACATAAGATGAAATAAAAATGCAAGATGAATGTAATCTATCAAAATTTATCACGGTTATTAACATTGCCATGCTAATCAACGTAACCAACATATGATTAACCACCGTATGTGAGTCAAGCAGAAGTGATATGACTAGTGATACTACTGAGTTACCCAAACTGAAGTAGGTGGAGTGGGGTTCGAGAAGACGGTCTATTGGGTGAAAGCTGGGAGAATTAACTATCAAATCACTTCTAAAGAGCACTAAGATATATCGTTCTCAGTATGGGGTTGTTAGGGATTGCTGAATTTTTTATTGAGATCATGAACCGATCGATGTTAGACCACCACTGAAAACCTGGGAGCAGTGGACGGCTGTTTCTTCCAAGTATGGGACTCCACAGCAGTGTGCATCCACGGTTTTGCTGGCAGGGTCCGAATCCATGACCTTCGGTCTTGCGCGCGAACGCTTGACCTCTAAACCGCCGAGCCGGCATCCAATAGTGTTAGTGTCTAACTTCAACCAATCCACGAAATTGTGCGGCCATCTTCCATTGTCTGAGGTAAACAACTGTCTCTACCTGACATGGATTAGCGCACTGGTCATAGCTTCTCATTAGAACTTCGAGAATGACCTCTCGAAGCTAGTCACTAGTGAGCACATGGTAATTATCAGTATGGGGTTGTGGAGCTTGTTGGTCTAACATCAATCGGTTCATGGTTTCAATCAAAAAATATGTCGTTTTGGTGTTGTAGACGATCATAACACATCAAACTGGGAAAATTGTAAAAACCTGGTAGCATACGAACACAAAATTTGTCTAGGAACTTTCAAACACGATAGTAAAACTAAAGTGCGTGAACACGTTCGAGAGAGATGATATAAATTTGACAATTTGTATCATTCAAAGTGAATGATCCATGAAAGGCACAAAACTTGATGAAACTTACCCTATGCTTGGACGGAGCCACTGCCAGATGATGCGTATTAGTAAATGATATGGGTAAACTATGATTGTCCAAATAATCGATCTTTAATAAAACAAAAATATAAAACAATTTTCAAACACTGAATGAGAATGCATATGATGAAAGCAATTATGTAGTTAGACCATTAAATTTTTAGACAGAACATACGACTTATTCTTACAAACACTTTGATCCCACCATAAAGTATGAAGAAGAAACTTATGCTTAGCTACTTATTGGCTTATGATTATTCAAACCAATGTAGCACAGTTTTTCCCTAACGAGATCATTCTTAGAAACCTAGAAACAGATCATTTGGTTATATGTGAACAACAATGAAAAAATCATTCTTAAGATTTAGAAATAATTTTACTATTATCTACAAACCAATACAAAGATTCTATTCCATTTGAAGCAGAAGACGTAACAACCGAATAAGATCAGTTTAATGTAGTTGGTACAATAAATTTTATTAACTGAAGGGAGCACTATTTATTATTATTTTTTATTTATTTAAACACATAAAAATTGGTACAGGGATGCACCAAATAAATATGTGTCACATAAATCATTCGATTTGTGTGAGGGCTGGATACTGCCCAGGTGCCCAAAGCGAAGCAGGGAGCACTATACAAAAGAAAAAGTAGATTAGTAGATTGACAGTATGATAACTGAGAACAAAAAACTGGCAGAAATAGCAGTACCAAAGCCAGAGTATTTCTAGAAACTTGCTACCTAAGTCAATTTGCAATTAGGAGACATGTCGATCATTTGAACAAATATGAACCAATCAAATAGTCATCAAACAACAAGTCAATCGAACTGCAGATACAGTAGAAAATGATAAATATCTAGAAGCAAACAAATAAGGTCGCTAGAGTGGAATGTCGTCAAATATCAAGCATTTTTTTATCAGAAACGTTTTTTTCCTGTTGAAAGAGCATTAACTGTACATCATTTCAGATGAATCTACATCACTGAAAGTACAGAGAAATATAATAATATGTTCGCTTATTAATATGAAAGAAATTTTTATTATTATTATTATTATTATTATTATTATTAAAAAAGCACATCCATAGGTGACAAATTAGAAATAAGTAGAAACTAACATACCAAAAATAAAAATGAACTTATGTCAACGACCAGTTAACAAAATATATCGTATATGATGACTTATTAAAAATTAAATGGATAGTTATGATAAATTTATATAAACAATGAATCCAGAACTACTGAGAAATGCTGCAATTTCCAAAACATTGATCAGAGTTAGGTAAAAAAGAATTTTTCAAACAGCCATTTAGAAATTTTTAAACCTCATGTCTGAAGTTGGGTTTGATTCCCTGTAAATCGCATCCTCAATGGCTAATTCTCAAAGACAATAGTTTTTCTATAACCATTCATTCGTTTCATACTGAAATGTTTTCGGCAAGAATTACAATAAACCTTCTGAATTATCTTTTGATTTGACAAGGTTGGAAGTTTGTTGTGGATAGTGGTAACTTGTGTTGCGTTACTGTGTCAGGCATTCAAACTGAGTAGCAGTTAGACTAGCTGTGACGGTAATTCGTACGTACAAATTATCATATATGACTGTAAGGGCGCTGACATAAATTATCCAACTACACAAACTTTGCCAAAATTAATGAATTCGAGAAATGGACTGACTAATTGAAAGTTGACTGTATTGATTGATGATTCAATTTCGATAGCTAGATTTAGAGACCATTTAAAATGGAATTACAGATGAAATTTGAGGTGATAAGCTGACAAAAATACAGAAAAAGAAAACAACAATAATAGCTCACCACAACAAGATCAGATGGTTCGAGGACGAGACAGTCATTACGGCGATAAAAATTTCCATTTGTACGGGTTCCAAAACTGTGAATAAAGAACACCAAAAGCTAACTATATATATAATGGTCGTAAAATTAAGGTTTTTAAAGCTGATCTCATTGGAAAATATTCAAAAACCTAGCCCCCTGAAAATAATTTGGGATGTGATGAGATCATTACCATATACTCAAATTATTTCGAGAATTTGAATATCTCATCCGTCATCAAAACGGTGTAACTTTCTATACAACCTTAACTAAACCTGACATAAGCCTGATGCCTAGTACTGAGCACGACACACGCGCCAAAAATTTTCGAATCTTGAGAATTGCTTTGTTTAAATGAATCATGCGATCACCTAAATCTGCGAACGGAACGAAGACACAATGACAACATAAGCTAACTATTCAGATGCATCCCAGCCCCGCTAACTAAAGAGAGAAGTCCAGGTTCAGAAGAGGGAAAGTGTATTCCATAATCCGCCAGAAGCTCGAACAACAACAAGCACAAATCAAGCATATATATACAGCACAAAAATGTTCTTGGGAAACGTTACAAAATAGCATATTAAAAGAGGCAACGGACCAATAGCATTTAAGGTCTTCTCAAGTGGGAAATATGATATGAAGATGAAAATGGAGGCTTTCGATGAGAAAACAAGAAATTCAATTTTTTAAAATATAATTACAAAAATAAAGCATTTACTAATTGAGCTCTGGGGATTTATCATCCGAAACATGACTTAGGATGTTATGATAATTAAACCAATTAATAAAACATTATTATATGAAAATTTCTGTCATTTAGTTCAAGTCAAAATGTTCATTCCTAATGACGTTGGGGAGAACTGTGTGATATGTATATCTTAACTAATGCTTCAGTTATTGAAACCCCATTAAATATTACAACACTCGTTAAGATTATATGATATTTTCTTATTCGGTTTTACAGTAGTTTTATAGTTACGAATAGAGTTGGGACACTGATGTCATAATCCACCTAAAGGTATCGTCAATGTTGGGGTAACTTGGAAGCCCAGTGAACTGTCCCAGCATTGTCTTATGAATCTATCATTATTGCCTCCTTATCGAAAATAGACTTGACAGTCATCGGTTAATCTCTTCAATAAGCACAAAACAATATCTAGTTCTTATATACTACATATCTTAATCCCCTGATTTTTTTACTACTCACCTCTGATTTTCATCATTTACAAAGCTTATGTTCAATTTGCATCTCATTCATATTTATCCTCTTTAGAGTTAGCCAACATAGATTTTCGGAAAGTCTATTAGGTTGAGCAATACTGGTGATATCTAGTAACTATTTTTTACATATTTCATATGAAGACAAGTTTAATTATAAAATTTTAGCGATTTAATCAATTTTTCTGTAAATAACATTTAAGAAAACGGTGAAAATATATCGAGAATTAAATACAATAATACTTGAGAATACACCAAGAAGCCACTTAAATATTTTTTGTAAATACTGATTAAAATAATGCTATTTCAAGACCAAATTATGAAAATGGCTACGATAAATGGGAATTAACTTCAACGGCAATCTTACAAATCATAAATCATGATGTACACATGAAACAGATTTAATTAAAGCCTAATTTGAATTGATCACATTTACACTGGATGTTATGAACTACACATGAATATATTTGGAGCAGGGGCCATCAGAGGTTTTCCTATCAGCGGGTGATGAGTAATCAGGTGGCTGAACACAAGTTATGATACTGAATTCATGTTTAGGCTAACTGACCACTTGATAGTAGTAACAAATCGTAGTATTTAGTTCGGAGTACTGACTGAATCCTATCAATCAAATTACGGGATGACCACAAGTCTATGCAACTAGGAATTTCGGTGTACTTTACCTAATATTAATTTGTTATAACTTTATGATCAATAAGTGCATACACAATTCAGTCCCGTAGATCAGTCGCAAACAAAGTAACTCAAAGGTAACGGCTCTGATTGCTAAATGGGTTTAAATCTCACGAGGAGTACATCATTTTCCTCAATATTGCAGATGAACTAACTAGCATGAGACCTGTGTACGGTTTTTTCAGTCGATCACCACTAAATTCATACAAAAGGCAATAAGAACAGTGACATAATACAATAGAAGACCATGATACCAACAACGAATTACATAACATTAAAGAAGTCAAATTAAATGTTGAATTTTTTTAGAATTACTCACTATGATCGAGGCAAGAACATGGAACTTTCAATTAATACTGATCCGCTTATCAAAATAAACCAAGAATCACACCATTCACCAGTGTGATACAACAACATATCGCCTGGAACACGACGATAACGTGCGTAACGACTGATTGCGCGTAATTCATCATCTCGATATGCTGATGATGGGCCAGAAAGATTCAACCCTTCAATTGTACGAAGATAACCAAATATGAAGGCATTCTCCTGAAATTGTTTCAGAACACAGGTTTGAAGGGGATTACTTACGATTCCAGATGAACATAATTGCAAATTTGTGATGACGTAATTACAATTTAATTAACTAAGAGTCTATCAACCTTCAATTTAAAAAAAACTGAATTAAGTAATTTTTATTAATGTCTTTACTTGGTTTTAAAGTTGGAATTGAAGATAACCTATTTGTTACAGTACGAAATGGCATGAAAATGTAGGTAATTGTAACAGAAACAAACTAAGACTTACAATGAAAATAACGGTCACGAATATTACTAGTTTCTTACAATTGTCAAAAAAACGCGAATTCTCATAGACATTAACACATTTACTAGGATATTTTGAAAAGCACCAGTGCCATAAGTGTAGTGTGCTGCGATAATATTTGGCTTTCCAATTTTCGGAGAAATTACGATAAAGTCAGTTCATAAATTTGATACAGATTCATAAAGAGAAAGCTACTTTTTCCTGACACATACTACAGACAAAATCAACTTCCAGTAATCTAACCATCATACTGAATATAAAGTTGATTTCTCCCATATATGATCTTTTTTTAAAAGTTTAAAACATATTTTCTGGATGTAAACAATGAATGAGAGTACCACCAAAACTGATGAAATCGGATTAGCAATGTAGTACACACTACTTTTAACATACTGAACAAGTTCCGCATTTTCACTAGGAGAAATATCTGATTAGTCCTTTTACAACCAACCAGTGTGACCAGACGATTCCAAAAAATACTAAGTTTCCCATGCAATATATATACATAATTCTTTTGTCTAGACCGTTATGGGCTTTCATTCAGTTGAACCATGACGTATAGCTATTAAGGGCTATAAAAAGGAAACAGTAGTAAATAAAACACAATACCATATTTAAATCCTGAAAAGACATGCTCAGAATGATACCGGAAAATCGTATTTGTTGGTGCGCAAGCTTCAGGAAAAACAGGACAATTTTGTGGTGACCATATTCTACCGAAGCTATTCCGAGAACTCAGTTTTGAAGAAAACGGTAACACAACTTTCTGTCGTTCTGGAGAATCAATTGAATAATTATGACACTTAAATATTGTAACCTACGAGTTTAAACACTAATTTGCTCTTACTGAAATACAATCAGTCTACGTAACTTGTGTTTACTGAAGCTTTCCAACCTCTCCATAGGGTTGAAGTTCGAACATGTCTCCTGGAGAAACTTCATGGAAATTTTGAACACCATAAACGCCGATAGACGAATGCAAGTGATCCCATAACATGAGGCATGATAACACATCAATAAAACGGGTAATTTCGATTCTATCATCCAGAAATGTAAACGGCACTACCAGGTTTAAATTTCTGAATCCTATAGCGTCAAAGTCGATCCAGAAAAAGTTATCGTTTGTTGGTTATGCAATGAATGACACTACATACGTCCTTGGAACGAACTATTATACTCAGAAAGAGTATGTTACGGTTTCGATTGCCAACGTTCGAATATGTTCTTAGATTGACATAGTGACAAATATTACTGTTATTTTCAAAGGCGTATATAACTGGTTGAACGTCAATAACGTAATTAAATAGGACTGCTCAAAATGCATCCACTGATCCTTTGAAAATTTTCTGCAAACCGATATGTGAATTCTTTCAACTAATTACCCAAAATTGTTAATCTGAAATAAATAAATGCACAGAGAAGATCCCACATTTGTGTTGGAACCGTTGGCAAGATTGCGACCTAATTATTTGGCTTCACAAGAAGTGGGAAGAGCAGAGACAGTAATAGAAATGTCCACATCAATACCCAACTCTGTACTGAGGAAAGTGCTAAGCATGTACAGAGACAAATAGCTGAAAAGAAAATTGGTGACGCTAAGCCCAAGGTTTCTAAGCCGAAAACTGAAGCACCATCTGCTAATAAACTCAAAGCCCAAGGAAAAGAAGGTCACCCAGCCAAAAAAGCCAGGGGCCACTGTAACAAAGAAGCCAGTAACTACAGACCCGAAGAAGCAGGCAGCACATATTCGCTATGATATCGTACATGGTGTTGAGAAAGGAGCCTTGGTAAAGTTGGGAATAAAATTAAGGCTGCATCTGGTAGCTTTAAAGAAGTTAATGCTAGTTTTAAACAGATTATGTATAGTTGGGACCAGGATAAGATAGCAAATACTCTTCTGGAAGGAGGTTGTGAATGGCGCTTTAACCTTCAAGGAGCTAGTCAACGAGGTGGTGCATGGAGAGGCATTATAAAGTCAATAAGAAGAATTCTGCGATTATTAGTGTTACATAAGCTATTGACGTACGAGTCTTTGAAGAAGTTTTTAATAGAGGCTGAAGGAACACTGAACAGTCGGCCACTCATGAAGCTAGTTAGTGATTGTCAAATAAGTCATTGTTAGTTCATAGAGGTGCATCATTCAACGAAGCGCAGATAAGCAAAACGTGCTTATATAACAGGATATAGAAGGAAACGTAACAACTAGCCAACTTATTCTGGAACAGATGGTTACGAGAGTACCTACCAACCCTTCAGGCGAAATCCAAGTGGTTGGACATGAGAAATATACAACTGAATGACTTAGTGTTATTGAACAATATGTGGTCGAAGGCTATAGTTAGATAGGTCAATTATGGTCCAGATGAATGAGTCAGAAGAGTTTGACTGAAGACAGTAACCGAAGAGATCAACCGGGATATACGGACATGTGCCTATTAGAAGAGGCCGATTATTTGAGCGCGACAGTAGCGAAGCCTGGACTAGCCAATCAAATCGTTGCTTAAGCTCCCATCACGTCAATCTGGTCTGGTGTGTCTGTAAACTATTCCTGTTGCATGTGACCTGCCAATTGAAGGACACTATTATCCTGTTATATTAGTGTAACTCGTAATTTTTATTCATTTCGATAAAACATGCGTTCCAATTGACTATAGTTCCTCTAATTATTATCCTAATCAAATTTTTACGTTTAGAAACAGATAAAGTTTGATATCGAGTTGTCCTTGTTCTGACTATAACTTTCATACAGACTATCGGGTCGCCAGTATCGCGTTTACAGTTCTAGTAGAATATCTATAGGGCAAATTAAATCCAACAATAACCAAGAGTAATCATGGAATATAGGCAACTCTGTGCAACACAATCATACCAATAAACTGGACAACAAACCAACAAAGTCGATCAGTATTTTTTTAAAATTAATGCCCACATTATTTGCAAGCCTGTGGCATAACTGGACATAACGAGTTAATGAAAAAGAAATAACACTGCAATTTTTCTAGCTATTTTCTGTTATCATACTAATTGATATCAAAATCAGACGAAGTGTTCTCAGTAAAATGAATGAGTGGGACACGAATGATACCTGGGGCGATCTATGAGCTGGTACAATAGCCAACATACGAATGACAGTCGAATCTTCATCCATAATCACCTACAGAGAAAAATAACGTAAATAACAAAGAAACTGATTGAAGAAAGTACATGCAACTAACGATGTTGCCTAAAAACAATCATATTCAACTAGGTTTTATGACTATTGAATGAAACAGTAAGAATGTTAAACTTCTAAATAAATAAGCCACAAAAACTGAACGGTAACCAATTTCATACACAAATAGTGGTACCACTAGGCGCCAAACCAAATATGCACCACACAAATAAGATGAAACTGGGAAGAGGAACAGAAAAGGAGTAAAATCAAAAACAGATAAATGGACAAAAATGAGTGAATGGGTTCAGTATATACTCACCATTCGTCAGGTTCTAGAACACAGGCATACTTATCGGCGTCCGACAATGGTGGTCTTTCTTGACTTAAAAGCAGCATTTGACTCTGTAGACCGCGAGATTCTGTGGTAGTGTCTGTCATTGAAAGGCGTACCACAAAAGTACATAAACCTTATAAAGGCTCTTTACTCGAACACTACTGGTCGAGTCAGGGATTATGGCGAACTGTCATCTACTTTTGCAACATCAAGTGGTGTCCGTCAAGGCTGTCCACTTTCTCCATTTTTGTTTAACTTCATCATAGATCTACTGCTAGAAATAACTTTCTCGTTGACTGAGTTCTCGGGCATTGATCTCCATCCAGGTGGTCCACTTATCGACTTAGAATACGCAGATGACATAGTCCTGTTTGGTGAAGACGCTGATAAAATGCAGTCTTCTGGTAGCACTGAGCAACAATGCCAGAATGTTTGGAATGCGCTTCTCTCCCTCTAAATGCAAGTTGTGGCTTCAGGACTGGTCTGCGTCAACACCTGAACTAAGGATAGGGAGTGAAGTAGTCGAACGCGTTGACAACTTCACTTATCTTGGAAGTCTGATCAGCCCTAATGGGTTGGTGTCTGACGAAATCTCAGCACGGATTCGAAAAGCTCGTTTGGCTTTTGCCAACTTACGTCACCTGTGGCGAAGGCGAGATATCCGTCTATCAATAAAAGGACGAGTATACTGCGCGGTATTTCGTTCTGTTTTACTTTACGGCAGCGAAACATGGCCACTAAGAGTTGACGATACTCGTAAGCTACTAGTATTTGAGCACAGATGCCTTAGAAATATTGCCCACATCTGCTGGGATCATCACGTAAGTAATAGTGAGGTTAGACGCAGGGTATTAGGAAATGATGGTAAATCAGTTGATGAGGTTATGAATCTTCACCGACTGAGATGGTTGAGCCACGTGTTACGTATGTCTGAACACCGATTACCAAGACACGCAATGCTAACCAGTGTTCGGAATGGTTGGAAGAAAGTTAGGGGTGACCAAACCAAAGCGTGACATCAGTGCTTGATTTCGCGAACTTCTAGTCTTAGCCATATTGGTAGATACAGACTACTTGGTTGGGGTCCGCGTGACTATCGTAACCAAATGGTTGGAGAATCTTGGTGACATGGCTCAGAATCGATCACAATGGCGTCGGTGTATACACTCTCTGTCTTCCCTTAAACTAAGAGATTAAGATCGCTTCATATATATATATATATATATATATATATATATATATATATATATATATATATATATATATATATATATATATATATATATATGTACATATATATTTTGTAGGTAGATGCAATCGGTGAAACAGTATTTACAACAATTGGCTCACAACCCTTAGCTCGCGAGCCGAAATGCCGAAACATTTGCTTCTGCATGGGTAGCTGCGTAGTATTGCAAGATCACACAAGGAAAACCGCGGCTCGAATTACAGTACATGGACCTATAATGCGGTAAAAGTTCTATTATTTAATTAATTCTTTTGAATAACAATTCGATATCAATACTTTAACTGTTTAACTAAAGGTACCTGATAATAATAATGATAACTAAAATGAACATTTTTGAGTAGTAATAAACAATAACATATTATGAGATCCCAGTGAGTGCTAACCAGTGTTCGGAATGGTTGGAAGAAAGTTAGGGGTGACCAAACCAAAGCGTGACATCAGTGCTTGATTTCACGAACTTCTAGTCTTAGCCATGTTGGTAGATACAGACTACTTGGTTGGGGTCCGCGTGACTATCGTAACCAAATGGTTGGAGAATCTTGGTGACATGGCTCAGAATCGATCACAATGGCGTCGGTGTATACACTCTCTGTCTTCCCTTAAACTAAGAGATTAAGATCGCCTCATATCTTTCTTTCTACGAACCAATTTTTTCTTCTTGTACTATATCTCTATATGCAATCTTTCTTTGGCCCCCGAATGCCCTGGTACGGCTGAGAGTGGGGTGAGTCCGCTCTCCCTCTCGAAATACTCTCAGACGGTCACGCGTATACAGCCTCTGCCAGGGAAGTCCTACTCATTGCCTTCTCGTGGCGGGGGTGTTGTTTACGAAAATGAGAGGACGAAAAGCGAATGTCCGGCGATTTAACCGGATTCCAAATCAATGGTTCACATGGGCTCCAGTATCCTGCGGGAACAAATGGCGTATGAACCCATCTTTGGTCACCGGCTACCATGGGATTGCATCTCCTTACGATGCTCCACTGTCTTGTGGGTTAGACCTTTAGGTCAAAGGCTCGGGGAGTGGCCCCCTAAGATAACCACCTGCTTCAGTTTGGGCACCCGGGCAGTATCACAGCTCACACACAAACGATGAACTCTATGTCTTTGGCAACTACTTTTATCGCTTCGAAAAACAATCAGTCGATTCAAATAATTATCATTACTATTATTGTCATTATTAATACTATTATTGTCGTTATTATTATTATTATTATTATTATTATTATTATTATTATTATTATTATTTCCCACATTATTCACCCTCTTTTATACTTATACAACGGCTCGTCTTTGGTGGAAATCCGACTGTATCTAAACGTTCTCGAGTCACTGTCCGGTTGAAAGTTGTATGTTACCATCGAATATGAGTACTGAAGCAGTTTATCGGAAACCACGTGCACCATTCAAGCTGGCTGCCTTCAACGTTCGCACACTTATGCAGGTTGGTCAACAGATAGGGCTGGCTATGTCTTTGGAAAGTCTTAATATTGATGTTTGTTGTCTATCCGAGACCCGTATTCAAGACTCTAGCGAAGTACTACAAATTCGCTCTACATCTACATCGAATATGAGTACTGAAGCAGTTTATCGGAAACCACGTGCACCATTCAAACTGGCTGCCTTCAACGTTCGCACATTTATGCAGGTCGGACAACAGATAGGGCTGGCTATGTCTTTGGAAAGTCTTAATATCGACGTGTGTTGTCTATCCGAGACCCGTATTCAAGACTCTGGCGAAGTACTACAAATTCGATCTCCATCTGTCGCTTCGAAAAGCTTGTTTTACGTGTGCTTATCCGGGGACCCTGTGGCATCTTCGTCTGGTCTTGCTGGCGTTGGTGTCGCACTAAGCGCTAGAGCTGAGGCAGCACTAGTCGATTGGATCCCCATTAACAGTCGGTTATGTGCTGTTAGATTAGAAAGTTCCATCAAAGTGAGAAGAAATCGGCGTGAGAAACGATGTCTTTTCGTCATCTCCGCCTATGCCCCGACAGATTGCAGCCCGGATGCAATCAAGGATGAGTTTTACCACCAGTTATCTGTTCTCCAGAAAGTGCGTTCGACAGATATTGTAGTACTAGCCGGAGACTTGAATGCTCAGGTCGGGCGTCTAGGCACAGAAGAGAGTCGTTTAGGTGGCCGATGGGGACTCGTTGGTCGCAGGTCAGATAACGGGGACCGTCTACTGCAACTGTGCACAGACCACAACCTGTTTCTGGCTAGCACTAACTTTCGGCACAGTCATCGCCGATGTGCCACCTGGCGTCCTCCCTCTGCATTCCAAGCCTGGACTCAGATTGATCACATCGCGATCAGCTACCGCTGGCGTGGTTGTGTAAAAGACTGCCGCTCCTTTTGGAGTACCTATCTGGACTCTGATCATGCCTTGGTCTGCGCCAATCTTGCCTTACTTTTCAGTGGCCAACGAAGTGACCACCACCAAAAGATTGATGTTAGCAAGCTGGTTGCAACTTCTGTTGCAAATAAGTATCGAACCGAGCTAACCTCTAGGCTAGCTACCACTCCACCGAAAAGTATAGATGAGCATTGGTTGCAATTGCATGACGCCATCAAAATGGCGGGTACAGTCAGTTGTGGGTTTGCGAAACGTCCCGCTTTTAAGCACTGGGTTTCTTCTGGTTCCTTACAACTCATTGAAGCCCGTCGGTCTATTCCGGGTGACCGTGAGTTTGACCATAAACGAAGGGTGTTATGTAAGGAAATTGGGTAAAGCTTGCGTAAGGACCGAGAAGCCTGGTGGTCGAAGCGTGCTAATGAGCTGGAAGCAGCAGCTGCATCTGGTAATTACCGGAAGCTCTTCCAGCTCATCCGAGCCACTGGCAGCAAGAAGTCTGGTGTGGGTGAAACAATCTGCCAGGATGATGGGATGCCAATCACTAACATCCGTCGACGTCTTGGACGGTGGGCAGAATTTTTCGAAGGGCAGTTCAACTGGCCTGCTGCTCCGGCAACATCGGTCAGACTGTCCTGCCCTCCATGGCCGGTGACGACTGATCCACCAAACGAGGAGGAAGTCCGCAAGGAACTCCAACTCTTGAAGCGTTACAAATCACCTGGCCCAGATGGCTTACCTCCGGCTCTTTTTAAAGATGGTGGTGACTTTCTGACTAAGGAATTGACGACGTTGTTTACAAAGGTTTGGGAACTAGAGAGTGTACCAACGTCATGGAATGAGTCGATAGTTGTCCCTATCTTTAAAAAGGGTTCACGTCGTTCCTGTAACAACTATCGGGGGATAAGTCTACTTCCGATTGCGTCCAAGCTATTGGCTTCCGTCATATTTCGTAGGTTGTTCAAAACCCGAGAAAGATTGACTCGCAAGAAGCAGGCTGGCTTTCGTTCTAATCGAGGATGTATTGATCATATCTCCACTCTCCGCCAAATGTTAGAACACCGTCATATTTATCAAAGGCCAACAATCGTAGTGTTTCTTGACATCAGGACTGCCTTCGATTCGTTGGACAGAACTGTTCTCTGGGATTGTCTATTGAAGAAGGGTGTGCCTGAGAAGTTTATTTACATCCTAAAAGCCCTATATAAAACACCTCAGGCAGAGTGAGGGCATACAACCACGTTTCTCCATTGTTCCATTCAAGCAGTGGGGTTAGACAGGGTTGTCCAATCTCACCATTCCTCTTCAACTTTGCCATCGATGACATTCTGGAAACAGCTCTGATGAATGTAAGTAATGGTGGTGTGGATCTGTTGTCTGGAGAAAGACTTCTCGACCTTGAGTATGCGGACGATATTGTCTTACTGTGCGATAATGCCCAAGGCATGCAATCCTCACTTAATCAGTTGGCAATCAGTGTCCGTAGGTATGGTATGTGCTTTGCACCTTCGAAGTGCAAAGTACTCCTACAAGACTGGCAGGATTCCAATCCTGTACTCACCCTGGATGGTGAGCAGATAGACGTAGTCGAGAAGTTCGTGTATCTGGGTAGCTGCATAAGTGCTGGTGGGGGTGTGAGTGATGAGATCAATGCACGAATACTGAAAGCCAGAGCTGCTTATGCCAATCTGGGCCACCTTTGGAGCCTTCGGGATGTCAGTCTGGCTGTAAAAGGTCGGATCTACAAAGCGTCGGTGAGAGCACTTTTTCTCTATGCTTGTGAGACCTGGTCTCTCCGAGTTGAGGATGTTAGATGACTCTCTGTGTTCGATTATCGTTTTCTCCGAAGGATTACTGACATCCGATGGCAACACCATGTCAGTAATGCAGAGGTTCGGCATCGTGCGTTCGGGCACAGAGATGATAATTCAATTGGTGTCACCATCTTGAAACACCGACTTCGGTGGCTTGGACATGTTCTCCGAATGTCGTCCCAGAGAATTCCACGTCGTGCATTATTTGCCGACTCTGGGACTGGTTGGAAGAAGCGGAGAGGTGGTCAGTGCATGACATGATGTCGTGGCATGAAAGAAAGCTGCAAAGGACTGGTTTGTGTTGGTCCTTCACGACTCCCTGGTTGGGGTCTGAGAGATGGTGCTACACAGTGGCTAGAGACGTTATCAGATATGGCTCAGAATAGAAGCCAGTGACGATCCTGCTGTAACCTTCTTTTACTTTCTTCATAAAAAGTGGTTCTGTCTCCCTTACCTGAAAGATTTCTTCCGATTGTACATTTGCGTTCCCTGATTACTAGCACATTACCTTACACCAATTTCTTCGTTATTGTTCTCTCTTTTTTTGTTGCGCTCCTTAGCTTTTCTTTCTTTCTTTGTATTCCTCTCGAATTTTCATTGTTTTGTGTGGCGCATATATATTGGCGCTCTCTTGTACCAATATTCATGTGTCCAAATAAATAAAATAATAATTTTATATATTACCACCTCTGAATTAACTGCTTTTATGAATCCGGTGTCCATATTGTTGTGTTAATGAGGTATGGCAACTTGGACCGATGCACATATGTGCCTGGTCCTACGTTGTAGCTGACTGACTGTATATAATAGGAAACAGTTCAGTAAAAAGTACAAACAGAAGAACCCTTCTATTTAGGGAAGTCCCTCTTGTTACTTTGAGAATCTAAAAGAAAACTACAGTAGAATAATCATTGGCTTCTATTGAGTCATCTCTGATAGTCTCAAGCAACTGAGTTGCTTCATCTCTCGGGCCCCAAACATGATGGACCGACAGACGTCTACCTTAAACAGTTTTCTACCATGCCACGGCAATATCATAAACTAACCGCCTCACTTTTCCCGTTTCATCCTAATATCGGCAGAATTCTCTGGGATGACATTTATGACGCTGAAACTGGTGTTTTAAGGTGGCAGCACTAACTGAAATATTACCATTGACCAAGAACAAACCCTGCCAAATATCCGCATTACTAACATAACTATTCTATCGGATGTCGGCAATCCTCCGGAGACAACGATGATTAAACAGAGTTGCCCGATATCACCACCTAGAAGAGGTCAGTACTCACAAGCCTAGAACAAAACTGCTCTTGCCGATGCATTGTAGACCCGACCTTTAACAGCCAGATGCATTATAACGGTGCCCAAGATGTCCCAGATCAGTATAAGCCACTCGGGCCTCCAGTATAAGTAGATTATTTTCATCACTCACGCCATCATTAATACTCACACAACTAACCAGATACGAAAACTTTCGGCTAATTTGAACAGCTCACTATCAAGAGTGCATGAATAGGCTCCTGCCAATCTTGTATTTATTTATTTGAACATAAATATTGGTACAAAGGGATACCGAATACATATGTGCCACACAAGTATCTCGATTTGTGTGTGGGCTGTGATACTGCGCAGATGCTTCGACCGAAGCAGGTGGTTTTCTTAGGGGGAGACGCCCGGAGCCTTCGATCTAGAGGTCTGATCCACAAGGCAATGGAGCAACGTCAGTAGGTGCAGTCCCATGGTACCCTGTGACAAAGGATTGGTTCATACGCCATTTTTCCATTCGGGGTTCCATGTGCACCATTGGTTTGGAATCAGGGTTTTCCAAGTCCCTTAGGTGGACCCTACATATCCACTGACCCGCTTTCGTCCTCTGAATTTCGTAAACAACACCCCGACTGAGAGAAGGCAGTGAGGAATGTATCGTGGATAAATCTTTCAGTTGCCAAACAGAATAAGGCTGAGGTTGAATGTAAAAAATAATTGTACTTATTTCTCCACTTTAACTGATAAGTTCTGCGTTAACATTTAGGAGCCTAACCTGCTAAATTTGCTACTGTCCATTTTTATAGTCTCAAGGTCGAGTGTGGAAAGGGGATGTACTTCAGCTGTCATATGAAGGACATTTAACTGTGATGTGGATACTAGAGCACGTTTTAATCAAAATCACATCTTCCTACTAGAAACAAGACGTGTGACCTAACGGGATTGGACTAATCTGAGAGGGAATGCTTCGAAACAAAGGTAAAATCAAAGAAACGAAATTGGGAAAGGCTATCAACGGTGACTAGACCAGCGGAAAGAAACTAGTGCCGTAAAAAGATAACTGCTAATCACAGTAAGACAGAGAACACGTGCTTCTGTCAAACTGCTATTGACTTTGACTTACATGACAAGGTGCTACCAACCACACGTTTCAAATTCCAACGCGATGCCACTCATGAATCCTACACTTTACTGGAGAATCCAATGTAGTTTTACAAGAAACCATATATAAACAAATTTTATAAGGAGATGCAAATTACGGATAGTTGTGGAGATGTGATGATAAGTATTGCAATACTAAGCCACAAAGTTTGAATGACATCAGTAAAGCCTAACTAACTTCCGTACAATATATAATTAAAAGTCAGGTGTAAAGCCGGTTAACTAGCAATGTATAATAATATGGAGAAAATAGACCATTTAAACCAATGTTCTAGTAAATTACTTAGAACTGAGGTGATGCCGGTGAGAATAAAGACTATACGAAAAAACTACATTGAGTATGGGGATTTTTGACACATCTTTACCAAAACCAAAGATAAACTACGAAACGTGGATGTGATGTAACAATCTTCAAAACTCAGAAGCAATTTAAGCGAGACTATAGTTTGTGGATGAACCAATAGGATATAAGATAATAGTTCTAGGACTATATAGTCCTAGTTAGTTTCTAGACATCATCATGATCACTTTAGCGCCGCTCAAAGGTCGTCTATAAACTATAGTCTCACAGCAACTTATTTTTATTATGTAATTATTACCCACCTTTTGTTAGCTAACATAGTGAGATCGCAAACCCTCAAACAAACGGCATAATAACACATCCAAATCAATGGGAGCGCGGCTTTATTTTCGACAATAGATGCACATATTCAAACTTCAAAGTTTTCTGGCTAGAAGTACTAAACTATTTGTTCCTTAGGGCCTAAACTTGGGTAGCATAGGTAGGTTCTTTATATACAGATTTTTGACCTTTGTTATGTCCGTTATGAGTCTAAATCGTAAAAACACTGGTTAATAATGAGAAAGTTAGTCGAAATATAACATTTAAATTAATCTCCATAAGTGCTTATAGAACTCAAGTGGGAATTTAGAAGATGATACCACTTCCATTACAGGCAGTGAATTGCTTAATTTGCAGATCCTAGCTAGAAGAAATCTTGGAATGAAATTTTGATGGTAGTTGCTAGCTCCACAATAACGAAACAATAGTGACAGTTATAAAGCATAGATCCTGCTTGAACTTGCGCAGATTCTGTCGCTGTGGCACATTTATAGCAACTGCATGTGAAAAGTCGAAATATGAACATTTCACCTGAGTATGTTTCATGCATTCGATTCGACAGACAGACGAAAAGAAATAGGTGTGAATTAATTGTTGAAAAGCTAAGTAGATAAGTTATAGATCAGGAGGTCCATATGTCGGTTTAAAAATGCATAAATTACAGCAAACTAACTAGAAATTAGATGGAAGATGAACACAAGACATACAAATACCGAACGCTAGGTCACAAAATAGTAAGATTGAAGGTCATATAATGGCTTACCAGGTTATAGTGATGAGTTTAATGAACAAATTAAAATAGACTGCGCAGTCTTATGATACGATTTGCTTTGTGATATGCTCTTAGGTGTATTAAATAATAAAAGTGACCTGTTCTAGTCGAGAGTACTATCAGTGATTTAGTGTACTATGATGATATCTCCACCTCACAAACCTTCTATACTGTGAAGTCTGACACTTTAAACCTGACGGGCTTGTTTAGTAAGGTTTGGATTCTAGTCCGGTTACAGTTTCCATTCGTATTTTTTGAACTCGTTTCCAGAGAGTAATACCCTTGTCAAGGTTATAAAAATGAGACAGGTATATCCCAACAGATGAGACGATTCGGAAAACGGATAACTTTAATAACATCATCCTGATCACCCGTAGAATCTGTCGGATAAATCAATCAAGTAAAATGCAGTGGAGCTGCACAATACGTTCATACAAACCTATGACTGTATGAGTTTTTGAAGTACCAAATAATCATGGCGCAAACAAATGTATTAATTTATTTAGTTGTTCGAAATAAACTCACATCTATGCGAACTTTCAAATATATGCGACTGATTGCATGTCCGCCTGAATACCTCCTCACAATAAAAATACGAAATATAATTAATTTGGTGGCGCTAAGGAAATATTCATTGTAATTTTCCCCATCGCTTCCCAGGCTAGATCTACGCGGCGACGTGTGCACGAGAAAAAAGGCGCGAAATATGGAAGAAACACTCTACTCCAAAGATTCGTTTATGTACAGAAAACCCAGGATTTTCATAGTTTTTTAGATGTCCTCGGGTTTCCCGAAAATTCTGGAATGCTACATAACATGGTAGCAATCAGGAACTCGTCATGTGACTTTTCACTTTCTAGACGTTTCTGGTGAAACTTCTAGTGAACGCTGACTGAATAAGATGCTTCACAGTGTTTACAGAGCATTTCTCGGCTTTTTTCGAGAAGTTTTCTGAATCCCTCCCTCAAGAAAGCCTAATATTGTATAACGCTCTGAAGAAGTCGTAGAATTATGGTCTAGTTCGTTATTAGTACCATTATAATAATAGACCCAATCCTAAAACTTCAGATTTGTCATGACGTAAAAATCTAATCTGAGAGATCCTACGCACAATTCACATCATTGTCTATTCTGACTCGAAGTGCCACAAGAATCGATTTATAGTGTTTGGTGTTCCATATAACACATTTGGGCTGGAAATAGAACAATACACTTATTGTGAATAAAAGAGATAAGTTACACAAGAATGACCACGCCTACAAGGCTGGGCCATGCCATACAATGTAATGAATATCCCTGCGTTCTCCGTTGTTGACCTTCTCCTGTTGTTAAATGTTGAATATCTACTTCCCCATTTATCTCATGTTCATCTTCGGGGCATGTGTTGCTAAGACCGGTACCACTATAAGTCAATTTTATCGGACATCTTCGGAAGAAGTTCAGTGTGTGGGTTGGGAAAGTTACTGTTGATTATGCGAAAGGAAATACCAGTTAAATGTAGACTAATTATTGTTTTTGCATTATGTTTGGCGTTTGTTGTTCTTAACTTGTATGATCACCGCGAAAAACGATTGCCAAATTTAGATACGCAGATTTATACGACTTACTATTGATGCATTCACCTGAACGAACAACCTAGAATCGTGATTGGTCTTTTTCCGGCATAGTCCTGCCTGTTTAGTACAGAGCGATAATTTCAGCCTGCGCTACATGAATCATATTTCAAACACATAGGGTTTACATGAAAAAAATCAGACCAAATCACACCATAAAATAGAACATTTGTACAAGATGTGGTCAAAATTAGCTGTGATTGTGAGAAACTGTTGCCAATAATTTGGGAATATTTAAGAATGATAAATAGTATGATAATATTCAGTAGGTCAAAGCAAAGCTTATAATGAAAGGAAAATAAATATACGAATAATAGTCTATTAATAATGGTACAGTAAGAATATACGGATAATATTAGTCCATTGATAGATTCCAACAATCACCTTTCATTGTTGTCGTTGGGATAAAACACCGCCGGCTTCTTTTGAGCATTAGAAATAACAAATGTCACTAGGATTTGTTTTTATTCGATTTGGTCTCGGTTTGATGCGCTGAAACTGCCTTCGGAATGTTGTATACGTTCTCCTGCTATTCGGGTCCTTTTAGTCTCATCACACGATTCATTCAATATATTTAATAGCATATCCGGCCTTATGTTGTTTCCTGTCCTCTACGTTGGCTTTACTACTTGGAAATCTCTATATATTACCGCTTGTCCCACAATGAACCCTCTGGATAATGCACTATGTCGACTACGGTGTTAGAATGTCCTTTTATAAACTGGATATCTGTTGTCAGTTGAGAGATGTAATCCAGTTGTCGTGCATCATATGACGAATGTCGGTCGGATGACGTGTTAAGAGAATGACATAAAGGTTTATGATCAGTCATGGTAGTAAACTCATGTCCTTGTAATAGAAAGGTGAAATGCTTTACTGCTAAATAGATAGCTAGTAGATCGCGTCCAAATGTGCTATAAAGCTCCTGGGTTGGTGATAGTCATTAAGAGAAGGTGTTATCGTGTCGTTTACTCGCTGTTGTAAAACTGCCCCTACATCATTCTGGGATGCATTGAAATAGAGAATTAGGTGAGTTGTAGGGTCATAATTTAGATGTTGTAACATAGTTGCGTATTTATCATAGATTTTACTTTATCGAAATCCGTTTTGGGGTCAAGAAGTAATGTAAAGAATTCACCTACCTCCGAATTTGTTTCTTTTTTATCTAGTTTCAGAAGATCTGTTGGGGGTTGTAATGTGGCTGAGGAATTATGTAGGAAACGACTGTAAAAGTTGTATATGCCGAGAAATCGACGCAATAGTAATAACAGTTTATTCTCAATTGACAGTTTGTTACATGAGGCATGCCAGTTTACAGGTAAGATCAAATTGTTAAAAAAAAACAATTTTCACTGTAGTAAATTACTCATCTGGGTTGATATTTTATAAGATATGAATGTAGATGGTTGGTGCGCTTTATGAAGGTTGTGTTGCGACGTACAACTGATGGTTGAGAATAGATATATGTGAAGTTGAGGGCTTTCAGAAACGCAATCTTATACTCCTCTAGAATATCTGAGGCTTTATTGATGGTGAAAAACTGTTGAGTTGACCTTCCGAGAACTGCAACGGAGCCTCCAGAGGCCCTAAAGTAGCCGAAGAGTCCTAGCCAATCAGAGCATGATGGAGGTTCTAGAATATCAACGTGGCGTGCTACTATTGGTCAGTCGCATAATATGTCTTTTAGCGGATTGGCCAAAATATGATGTTGATTTAACAAATATTAACACCTATAAATACCTGTACAAAAATGAACCATTGGAGTAAAGCGTTTTTTGCTCATTTTGAAACTTTTCTATCGAGTTCAGGTTGCTGCGTAGTTCAAGCTTGCAGAGTACCAGAATAGCTTAGGAACCGAATAAAACGTTCAAATTAACAAGATTTATCAGGAACGAAGTCGCTCGTTCCATATCTGTCTTCAGTGGCACATCTCAGGGGGGCTGAAAAAAGGGTGCAAGAAAAATAAAGGTCGCGAAGCAGCGCAGACAACGTTCATGAAGGAATAGTTAAGATAAGACTGCCCAGTCTAATTCTCTTTTATTAAACTATTTATCAGGCAAGCGCATTCTAGTAGGTTATTGAAAATAAGTGTAAACAAGGTGTAAGTGGATAAACAACTGACAAAAGGAGGTGGTTCAGAAAGGAGGTGAGAGTATGGGATTATGTGATGTTAGGCTCTCCTACGTTTGTGTTATGATTATTGATTTAATCAAAGCCTATAGTTGAAACACACTGGCTCTACTAGTTCCATGTTACAAGCAAACCCGATGGTTAGAGCAATGATTTTGATTAATTCGGCTCAGGGTTATTGACGATAGCTTCCACTTTTTCCTGTCGTAGTTTAACTCCTTGTCAGTCGATGTGATGTCCCAGAAACACCCTCGATATAAATAAATACGAATTCTAAACTTCTTATAACCTCGTCTATGAATCTTTGAAATATCTGAGCAGCATTTTTTATTACCAATGACATTCTCAAGAATACAACAAACCAAAAGGTGCTTACGACTGTTTTTTCAATGTCTTCAGGTGGTATGCTCTCACAAGGTATAGTTTCGAAAAGGTCTGCTTCGCCGTGTAGATTCAGAAGAAAGTCATGTAGATGACAAATAGGGTACCTGTTCGGAGCGGTTTCATTATTTAGACGACGATCATCTCCACATGGGCGCCAGTCCTGATGTTCCTTCGAAACC